TTTTTTTTTGGTTTTTCTCCGGTACCGGGAACCGAACTCACGACCTTGCACTTGCCAGGCAGGTGCTTTTGCCGCTGAGCTAAATCCCCAGCCCCCATAATCACAGTTTTAATACAACTTTAAATTAATAGAATTTCAGAGGGAAGAGAAAACTGAATGCTATTGATTAGAACTCTCATTAGAAAAAGTAGTTCTTTCAATTTGCTAGTTTTGTGTGTTTGTATTACTGTAGCAAGGTATAAGCCAGTTGCTTAAATTTTACATTTTTACACCTTCTATGATCCGCAAAAAACTTTACATACAGGAATAACAAAAACTACTCTAGTTCGGACTCTCAGAGAAAAATTCACATGTAATTAACCCAGCTGTAGCTTGCTTATTTTAATGTGATTGCTGTGATGTGACTGTCCAGCCAAAAGATACTGTCAAGATGCTGATCAGGTTGCTGCAGTCCTGGAATGACCCCCTGTTCCACCTGCACCATGAAGCACATTCGCTACCAGAATTCCGTGATGCTCTCAGGAACAAAATAATCATTATAGCTGAAAAAGTCAATCAACTTCAAGAATACCTGAAGAAGTTAGCCAGTAAGGTAAGCAACCTTCAGATGCTTTCATAGTTTTATATTAAAGACCTCCCTTCTGTCATGGGAAATGTTTTGAAATCCCTACTTGGCATGAATAACAAACAGTCTGAATGTACCATCTTATAGTCTGGTATTAAACACTGCAGAAGATATAGCCACTTACAGTGAATATATGAACATCAGTGAATATTATTGTTCTACTGTGCTGGAAGTTGCTTTCTTCCTTGCTCTGTCCACAAAGCCAGGCAGCACTTGTCCCTTTATGGATCTGGCAGTTCAACATTTTCCATGGAAAGAAAAACAAAGAAGAGACCCTTTTCTGAAACATATCTCTGTATGCTCATACTGAAATTTTGGCTAGATTCTTTCTCTTCTCTACTCACACAGGTTAGAATGTGAAGGGAAAGAGAGAAATTCAAAATTAGATTGGTTGGTGCAATCAGTACACCTCTACTCTGGGAAGACTGAGGTGATCTTAGCTCCAACTGTCCCCAAAGCACAAGATTTGCAAGGATCAAAATGAAGATTTATCTTTTGTTATTGTTCCTTGTTTCATAATTTATAGAAAATTCACATACATTTTTTCCTTAGTGTTGCAAAAATAAAATTTATATCAGTACTTTTCATCTTCCCAAATAATTTGTCATATAAAGATTGAATTAATATTTTAATATGTATATGCATTCATAAAGGACATTTTCAAACAGTGAATAAACAGATAAGTAGCTATTTTAAGTGCTCAGGATCAATATCAACAAAATAAAATATATAATTACAGAAATAAGAAAAGAAACACTTTTTTATTTTTGTGTCCTAAGCACATGATACCATTTATCACGAAGGTCATTTTCATGGGAGAAACCCATCTCCAACACAAATACAAAGAACATACTACCTTAGGAACACAGAAAATAAATACCTTAATTTTCAAATTTTCTTCTTTCTTGATATACCAACTTCCTGAGGTCACTCATTTGTTCTATAATGCTTCATTTTTTGGTCCCTGTTTTGAAATCATTTATTTATTTCTGTTCATACCTTGGTACTTATCACAGGAAATGCTTTGTTAAGGCTCAAGCATCAAAAGTTAAAAATCCATAAATGAAAAGTAGAAAGCAAAATAACAAGTACAAAATATCCACTTCAAATTCCAATTGCATTATGCTTACTTTGTAGGATAGAGTTCAGCAGGTCAGGGTCTAAAATCATCCTAGATTTATATCTAGTAGAGCTCAAAGTCAGCTGACACCTTAGAGGCAGCGTGATGCTTATTTGGTAGCTGTGATCTCCATGAGCTCCCTGCTTGGAGAGGCCAATAGAGGGCACAGGGACATACTGCTCCCTCTGTTACTCTGTATAGCATTTTTTGGAAGCATACTTTTACCCCACATGCTACCACATGGTCCTCACCATTAATGGTTGTTGCCAGAACCCTCCTTGTCATAGATCCTTTTTCCAGTGACTCCCACTACAGGGAATTTAAGAGAAAGCAGATGTTTCTCATGAAAAACTGTAATGTACTTTTCTTTTGGGGATTGTCAGACTCCTGTCCTTAATCAGTCCTGACTTGACCTTCTGTACCTTAAAACACCAACTGCCATCCTCACCATCCTTAAGGCTTTGGGTACAGTGATGGTATGAGGAATAGAATTAGTTCAAAGTAACAAAAGATAAATGGTGAACTATTAAAAGAAATGAGGGGCTGGGGATTTAGCTCAGCGGCAAAAGCGCCTGCCTGGCAAGCGCAAGGTCGTGAGTTCGGTTCCCGGTACCGGAGAAAAACCACAAAAAAAAAAAAAAATAAAAAAAATAAAAGAAATGAAATACAAAGAGAGCATCAGATATGTTTCAAGAAATGCAAAATTGCATAGGTGAGCAAACAGAAGCTAGCCTTTCCTTAATCAAATCCGTGTTTATATTCAGACAGAACCTTTCTTCATGTCCTCCTGCCTACTCCTGCAAGAAAATACATGTAGTCACTCACATGTCAGAAAAAAAAATATATGTGTTCTGCTTCTAGATTTTATATGATTAATAGAGTCATGATTCCCTGGCCAGGATACATGAAAAACTGCCTTTGGCTAACATTTTATATTTATTTCCATCTTATCCCTAAATCTGAATTGAATGATGATAAGTAATGATATGACTAATAAATAACTTTTTGTTGGCTAGATTGATCCTGAAATCACAGCCAATGTGGACCATGCCATCTCCTCAGAACTTCTTTTCCTACAATCAACTAAAGAAGAATATCGCCTTTTTGCTTTTCATAAACTGCTCCGCTGCCTGAACACAGATTTACATAAGATTCACAATTATTTCATGTCCCTGAAGTGTCAAGTCATCTCTAATGACAACTGCTAAGCTTATATACATTCCCTCTCTTTCTGAAATGGATATTATGAGCCATCCCTTGGGAAGGTTCTCTTACATTCACTACTTTTTAATGCATGCTGGGGCTTCCTATCTCTACTTTTAAAATAACATGTGACTCTTATCTATGTGAAACTCTTAAATTTTCAAAATCTTTTTTTCATTTAATGGAAAACCAAGTGATTATCTGTGGCATCATGGAGAAATTCATATCAAAATTTGTCACAGATGACAGAAAGCTGTGCACTTCAAACAGCTAAAAATTTACTTTGAAATCCTAATGAATTAATGTGGGTCAAGTTATGAGAATCTTAGAGTTAGATTACTGTTAATCATTCTACTCATGGTATATAAAAGAATAAATTCTCAGAACACTTTATGAAATCTAGCATGTTCTCTGAGCCTACATTCACAATGTTTTGACAGACAGTACCAGTTCCATTGTAACTACGATGCTCCTACATAGCATGAGATTTAGTGAAATGTCTAAAAACTGTCATGATACAAGTAATATATAGCTTTGGATTTGTCTAACTGTTGTCCTTCGAGATGTTCCCCTGCATTCCCTTCTCTTTCACATCATCTCAGAAATCCTGTATGTGTTTTAAACACTCTGAGTTTAACAAGTTTTGTTAAGTACATTCCACCTCCATCTCATATTCAAATATTTCATACTTTTCATTCCCTCTGTCATGGATTAGGGGGCAGACAAGGAAAGCAGTTCTGCAATACTTTTTTCCACTCCTTCTGATCTCCTTTTCTCTGGTTAGGTTGGTGTGAGATAAAGTGGCAGGGGAAATTGCACTGTTCCAACATCACTGACTTGTGAGGTGCTATTTTAAACTTTCCATCACATGCAGGAGGTCACCTTCAATTCCTCTTTCTTGTGAGGCATGCTTTTAGTTCCCCAGCTGCAACCACCAATGGGGAAACCTCAGTGGAGAGAATCATCAGATAAATCCTCTAGCTTGATTCTCCTATCCTCCCTAAAGCACTGTCACATGTAGAATATTTTCTAACCTCGGCCATTGCTCCTCTCACCCTGGTGAGGTGAAGGCACCCAGCAGGTGAAGGCACCCTGCTGAAGAAAAAAATGACTTTAGGTCAGCCATCTGCTACTGGATTTACAGGGAACTCATACATAATAACCTCTCCAAGCAATGGAGTGGCACTAGTACTGCAACATTGCTGTCCTCTTCCTGTGGTTTCTACAAATTCTGCTCTCCTGTATATATACATACAGTGAAGTGAGATGTCATTCTTCCATTCTTTTAATCCCACTGAGTAATTTTCTCTGGCAGCAATTACTTAGAGCACCAGTCCCAAAAATATTACCACTAGGAGGCTGAATTATAACTAGATCCGCCAAAATGCTGAATCTTCAACATACCTAGCTTGGAGAGAAGTGAATGGTTGAGAGCATCTAAGCTTGCTTCTACACAACCTCAGGTGAGGGCTCACCCATTACCAGCTCTCCTTACAAGGCAGATTTGCCAGACAGTTTTCCCTTCAGCATTTGGCTTTCTCTAGTAATTCCTACACACTAGGCAATGGGCCACATCCTGCTCAACATCCTGATAGACCTGAAATAAAAAGAAAAGAAGAAATAAAGGAACAGGGTGTAACATGGAAAGCATAGAAAGCGAGGAAGAATAAAGCAAAGGAAGGAAGGACAAAGAAACAAGGTAAGGGGAAAGTAGGATGAAAAGGATAAGATGCTTGAGGATACTGCACTGGGGAAAAATCCTGATTCTATCTTAACTTTTATGCCAAAAATGAAAATGTCACCTGATATTGTTTTTCAACACCCCTTTCTCTTTCTTTCTTGAGATTTCTTTTGTATTAGAAATAGTTTCCCTTACCAATTCATTTCTATAGCTCTAGAGATGAGCAAAATTTCATACCTGTGAAACCAGAATTTGAGGCAATTTTTAATCTTTTTTTTTCTTTTTTCTTGTTTTTTTGAGACAGGATTTGGCTATGCAGTTCAGGCTGGCCTTGAGCTCGCTTTGTAGCCCAGGCTAGTCTTGAACTTGCAATGATCCTCCTGCCTCAGTCTCCCAAGTGCTAGGATTACAGGTGTGTGCCACCACCCAGGTTCAATCATTTTTAAAAATTTTTTTAAAGTTAAAATCTTTCCCATATTTACACAAAATTTTCCCAGGAAATCCAATCTCTTTCTTTACAGCCAGGCTTGTTTATATCATAATCTTGCTTCTACCTCTGAGCTGACCCAAACCTTTCAGAACACAGTAGAATTACAACCAAGCTATCAATTCCTCTTCTTCCTGAATTCATACATAAGATCAGCCATCTCTCTGTCTCTGTCTCTCTCTGTCTCCATCTCTCTCTGTGCTTCTCATTTTGCTTTCTTTCTCTTTTGAAAAGAAAGCAAGTATAAATAAATTTGTATATGGTATATTTACTGTTGAAACAGCTAATCCTATTATGTTTTCCACTTTACTCCATCACTGCCAATTTCTGGATAGTTCCAAAACAGAAAATTATATTTCTCAAGAGTGACACTAGCAAAAAGTCAATTGTATGAAATATAAATGCACCATTAGCCCACCTACAACGTCATGTAATCTGGTTTTACAAAGTGTTTATTCTAAACACAAGTTTAAGACTTCTGGTGAACCACTACAGCGGTGATAGTAAAAAGCCCATGCTTGACTGTGATGTATAAACAGAATATTGTAGTTTTCAGGAAAAAAAATTTGAGCAGTGCCATGTGTTCCATAGAATAATCTGGGGAAAACAGACAAGAGGATATTGCAAAAGAATATAAAAATCACTATTTTTTCAGCCAGATTAACTGCATTTTTTTCCTCTGTGGATTTGCCTAAATGGCCCACCTCTGCCAAGAATGTCTCAAAACAGAACCAAACCAACTTTAGAAACTCACTGATCTCACAGATTAGTAAATAATACATTATTAATATTAAAATGACTAAAAAAGAGGCAACAAAATCTGTTGTCCAAGTGTTTGTTCTAGAATTGTGAGAAAGAGGTGGCCACATAATTCTGCAAGTTACTGTACTTCTCTGAAAGAGAAAGGACCCTATAATAAGCAATGCTACATAAAGTACAAAAGTGAACCAAAGCACAGCTAAGAAACATAGAGATATGAGAATAAGCAAGATTAGCCACATTGGCAAAAATCTGATTTCTGGTTTATGGAGTACTGATTGATGAAAATATGCAGGCAGCATATCTTTGCTTAATCTAGAGTCATTTTATGATGTAGATATTTCCCATGACTTGAGCAAAAGAAACTGAAATGTTAGTGCATATATCATTATAAAGGTATGATCAAATAATTGTTTTTGGGCTAAACATAAGAATCTCATTCTTTAAAATGTCAAACAGAAAAAAGTAAAAAATAACAATAAAGCAGAGTTTCAAAGCAGGCTAGTAGGAGAGTAACAATAATCAACATATTGTAGATGGTTATATTCACAGCACTTATTCAGAGTAAAAATATAGGCATAAAACATTGTCCAGAAAATTACTAGCACAAAACTTTCCCCTCAATGAGCCAAGATAAATGAGCTGTTTTAACTATCTTAACTGTTTTATATACATATATCTTTCCTTTTCCCTTCCTTCCTTTCCCTTTTTCCCCATCACAATTTAAGAAACTCATTTTAGACAAATATTAGTATGTTTTATTACTGAATACTGTAAAATTAATATAGAAAAATAATAAGGGAAACCATGAAATATTATTTTTAATTTTAGAGTTTGACTTATGTCAGTTTGCAGAGCTTAAACTTATTAGAGGAGGAACTTATAAAGTAAAATATTACAAAAATAGACCTGAAGATCAATGGAACAGATTAGAAGATACAGATACATCTATAAACACATTCAGTCACCTTATCTTTGACAAAGGAGCCAAACATGCTCAATGGAAGAAAGACAGCCTCTTTAATAAATGGTGCTGGAAAAACCAGCTTTACACATGCTGAAGACTAAAACTAGACCCATGTCTTTCATCATGAACTAAATTAAAATCAAAATGGATCAAAGATCCAAATATTAAAACAGAAACACTAAATTTATTGGAAGAGAAAGTAAGTAATAATCTTGATGACATTGGGGTAGGCAGAGAGTTCATGAACAAAAACCAAATTGCATAGGAAATACTTCAAAGAATCAACAACTGGGGTCTCATCTTATAGAAAAGCTTTTGCACATCTAAAGAAATCACCAATAAAGTAAAAAGAAAACCCATGACTTGGGAAAAAATTTTAACCAACTTCTCCTCAGACAAAGGACTTCTATCTAGGACATATAAAGAATTAAAATCATCAGGTCTCCCAAGTTCAAAGACCCAATCCAAAACTGGGCATTTGAGATGAATACATACTTCTCTAGTGAAGAGATAATGATGACCAATAAATATATAAAAAAATGTTCAATGTCATTAGTCATTCAAGAAATGCAAATTAAAACAACACCGAGTTTTCATCTCACCACAGAAAGAATGACTATTGTCAAGAAATCAATCAGGGGGTGATGAGACTTTCTGAGCCCCGCCCACCCTGCCCCAAGAGAGCAAGTGCTCCGGGAGCTGCTGGACTCATGAGTTCGAGTCTGTGCTCAGCCCACACTGCCACGGTTGCCAGCTGAAATGCACGGAGAGAGCCAGGTATTTCCCATCTACTCCCTGTGGGCAGAGCATGCGAACCAG